TTCCACGGCTTGAACCCGTGACCTCCTGGTCACATGACAACAATTTTACCAGTTACGCCAAAGCTCCCCTTCAGTGAAATATTTACTAAAAGGGCTAAAAAAGAAGAAGATAAAATTTTACCTGGTTCCTTTTTCTTTTTGTATCATCATTATGAGCTATGTCATCTTCTAGTTACACAAATTTCATGTAGGTGCAAGATGGTGTACAGGTCATAAAGAATAAACAGGATATAATGAATACTCAACTACAGCTTGCAAGATTTCAAGTTCCAAAGCTTGAGCAGGAAGTAGACACCCACAATACTACACACGTGGACTCAGCACAACCTATGTCATCTGCTCCTGTTCTGTCTCACCAACAATTTCCCCCTGTTATTGCGCTTGCTCAACCGCCTTTCGCTCTTCCTCCACCTAATGCTCCTCCACCCCCTCCGCAACAGAATTCACTATCTCAAACTCAGCTTCAGAACCAGTTGGCCCAGAACCCAATTCCTTCCGGCACTCAAAAAGAAACTTATCTCCCACCGATTAGTCAAGCACCAGGAAACTCTAGTCAGCAGTACCAGCTGCCGGCACCGCAGCAGCCACAGACCTCTATCCCACCACCTCCACATCAAGGGTATCAGCCTTCGCCTTCACCGCTGTACTCGCAGCCATCTCCACCTCTTCAAGGGCATCTGCCTTATACATCTGTTAATCGCTCACAACCTCAACCTCCATTGAGCCGTCATCCTGAGGAGAGACATCATATAGCATCGCAGAATTATTCATTACCAAATACCAGTCAACCTCCCTCTAATCCATCAAGTGGAGCCCCTGCGTCCCTGCAGTTTTACGCAGCTTACTCTAATATGTTTGAGCCCCCATCTGGCAGACAGGTTTCTGGATTTTCTGGTGCTCATGGTTCATCCACTGGCCCGGGTGAATCTTATCCTTATAGCGGTTCCCCTGTCCAGTATGGCAGTGACTCCCCTTTTAAATCGCAGCAACTTGCTTCGACCGCAATGGGCCAGAGTGGTGGAAGTGGTTATCCACACCTCCCCACAGCAAGAATATTACCTCAAGCACTACCTACCACTTCTGCAGTTGGTAGTGGGTCTAGTTCTCCTCGTACTGGAACTAGAGTTCCTATTGATGATGTAGTTGATAAAGTGACAAATATGGGATTTTCAAGAGACCAAGTAAGAGCAACAGTGCGGAGATTGACAGAGAATGGACAGTCAGTTGATTTGAATGTGGTATTGGACAAGTTGATGAATAATGGGGAAAGCCAGCCGCCACAAGGCTGGAATGGTAGATAATATGTTTTCCTCTAATTCATGTTTCTGTACAGAAGTAGTTTGAGTTACATAGATCAGATTTGGAAATAAAGAAAATCATACCAAATTTTGATAAAAGAAAATATTTGTTTGGATTTAAGCGGCTCTGTTTACTTGTGTCATAAAACTTCATTCTTGTGCTTACACAGTTTTTGTTGTTCATTAATGTGACATCTCGGTTCCCTTTGTGCATTTCTTCTCTCTTTCTTGTAATGATTAGAGAAAACTCTGTATTTTCTATTTAGCCACTAGTGCTATTAAAAGTCATTGCTTCATCGTTTGAAGAAATGTGAAGCGAAGGATTATTGCTTTATTGGCAACGCCATGCGCTTCAAACAACAACGCTCAAAGTAATCCTGGCGTGATGCGAATGATTTTTTGAATGTCAACTTTGATGAATTGGATCAATATTAGTATTACTGTGTATTGGATGCAGTAAAGAGTTATCTTAATTGAAATTTGATAACTATTTTGTTAAGTTCTTATATCCGTGGTTTTCTTTTAATCTCCGTAAAGTGTGCGCTTCACCACTCGTTTTTTTTTTTTTTTTTTTTTTTTTTTTTTTTTTTTTTAGTAAATCCACTGGGTAAGGTGCCTAGGGTTAGTTTTTATATATATAAAATTCAAAAACAAAACAAAATGTCAGGAGATCTAACAAGATGAAAGAAATAAACTTTGCCGAATACATAGTGCATATTATCAATGTTGAGCAATGTACTCAACATTGATATCACATAATGTAAACTAATAAAGCAACGAAACTGACGTATAAAAACTAGCCCTGTGGAAGTGGTGTGATCCTCAAACAATTCCCCTGCCCAGTAACTCTGCCTGGGCATCCTTCCTCGCGTGAAATAGCCATCTTTTGCATCTTGCATTATCCATATTTGTGGTGATGAGCTCAATAAGCCACTATCATTATGTCCATTGTGCTGTATATGATTAATACAAATGCATTGTACCAGCTGTAACACCTTGTGATTCACCGCAACTGCTCTGCAAAATATGGCACCTTTATACCAACAATTGTGAGCATGAGTGAGTTTGCATAGTTTGCTGGAGAAATAATTTGAGTTCAAGCAACACTGGGGGACAAATTTTACTTGGGAGCCTTCATGGTATATGGAGGTAATGAGGTGCACTGAAATTTTAGTCCACAATGCACTCATCACTCCCATTTTTGAGCACCAAACTCCCATGTCATAGCTGATCATCGAGCACCTGGCAGCAGTAGTTCCTCCCGAGTATTTCTTTTGATGAGACTAGTAAGCTGCATTTTATTCATATCCATTGTCTGACTATTGCAGCTTTCATTTTGGGGTAGTGATTGATATGTACAAATGGCAACGAGTTCGAGTCTAATCCACTTAAGACTGCCCTGCCCATTATCCTCTTTAGCCTGCATGCTTATGCTTACTATTGGTCTTTCACTAAAGGAATGAGCACTATATGCTAATACCACTCTATGGGGTCTAATCAATAAGTAAGGCATGTTCACAGTAAAGTTTCCTGCAAAAAATAAAATTATGTTAGTGAAACACAGTAGCCCCATGCTTTCCTCTATAGGATTTGAACATGGCAATTGGCTATCTGATTTCCAACAGAACCAATATGTTCTGCTTTGCCTGGCTCCCTATATGTATTATTGACACAAAGGTACTGATATTTCTCCCTTAGAAGGTCCCAATTGGCCGCATTCTGCATTGCATCGACTGGCCAGCTACTATGCTCATAGGCGATCCAGCACTGTTTGGTATTCAAATCATGCGAGTTCCAGCATGAATGTGATGAACCCTTTGTGAGGCCCCAATCCTGAGAATTAATATTAGTGAGATACACTGAGAATTTACTCCCCAATACAATCTTTAGTCCCTCTTTTGCCTGCCAATCAATCCAGTCGCACATGATTTCCTCTATCCAATATCTGGGCAGCTTTCTATCATGAAATTGATATTTATACGAGGGGCTGAATCATTACAAGGTGTTAAGATACACCTTGGAAGATTGAAAGTCCATATTTCACACCCTAGTACACTGAAAGTCATCATTGCTTCCATGCTTGTGCCTACTATCAATCCAACTTCAAGGGAATGAGCGTCAAACGCTAATACCACCCATTGAAATTGAATGAAATAGTAAGGCATGTATACAGTAACATCCCTTGCAAAAAAGAAAATATGGTTAGTCAAAATTCCTACCACCATGTTCTCCTCCAAAAGGATTTGAATAGGATGGATATTAGTTATACTCCAGGCCTTTTCTTCCGCCAGTGTATTCTGTTTCCCCATGTCCCTTAACTCCTTGCTACTTTGACTCTCAAGTATGGACATTTTAATTTATCCACATTTACAGTTCTCCTCCCAGTTGTGTCAAGGTGATGAAACTCATGGCACTCAATATCCCCCACATCCAATGCATAATTGGCCAAATGCTCTGTCAATTTATTTCCTTCTCTAAAGATATGTGAAACAGTACCATTGCACAGTTCCAGCATCTCCCTTATCTCCACTATATCTTCAGCAATAATCCATGGTGGCTTCCAAATTCCAGTAATGACTCTTTTAAGCATCATTGAGTCAGTTTGTATCCAAATATTGGTCAGATCAGGATTTATACAATATCTCAGTGCCTCTTGGATTGTCACTACCTCTGCTACTGTGTTTGTACCCTCCTGTATTTCCTTCCCTCGAGCATATATAACCTCACCATATTCATATCTTATACAGAAACCATATGAGCTTCTGCCTGGATTACCCCTTGCTGCTCCATCCGCGTTAATTTTTATCCACCCACTACTAGGAAGTTCCCAAATCACCTTATCAACCTTCAAACTAGGAGTATAGTTTTCCATTATCTGAAGCATATCTGGCCATCTGGGAGGAACATTAAGCATGCTTGGCTTCCTAACCTTGATCAATGATTGAAGAGTAATGGACACTTGATATACCACCCTATTGATAGACACCACCTCACCATGTTTATAACTATTTCTCCTCTTCCACAACTCCCCAACGATTATGCAAGGAAGGGCTTGAAATATTGGCTTCAGTCTAGGAATTACTTGTGCAGTCCAACATTTAACTATTGCTTGGTGTAAGTTTAGCCCCTCTAGTGCAAAACCAGCAAACGAGAAAAAATAAGACCACACCCTTCTAGCTGCATATGATGTGAAAAAAACATGATTCACTGATTCCTAATCTGGATTGACACAGCACCAGCACTTAGAAGGCATAAAGTATCCCAACCATCTCGGCGCATCATCCAATGGCAGTATACCCTTCCATAATTTCCACATGAAGAATGATATTTTGAAAGGAAGTCCTTTCACCCACATTTTGCTATATGAACTGGCTGAATCTCTCCTACTCCTTAGAAACTCCCAAGCTGACCTCACACTAAATTCACCACTAGTTTCTAAGCTCCAGCATGGCTTATCAAGGCCCTCAAGTACTGGAGGTTTGATATTCTCCAAAATGTTAGTAGCTAAATCTTCTGGCAGAATACCTCTCAAAACATCTTCACTCCACTCCCCTCATGTACCACATCATAAATGTTATGAATAGATTCATCACAAAAGAAATCTGGAGGGGTGACTAAATACAGTGCACCAAGCCCTGTCAAGTTATCAAACCAAAAAAGAGATGATCCCATCTTAGGTTGCCATACTATTTGCTGTTCAATAATATCTCTGCATTCCAACATTTTTCTCCATATATGAGACCCATTTCTCCATGGTACAATCAAACCATTCAACTTTTTGCAGTACTTTTGGCTCATGAAAGAACTCCATAATGATGGTTTAGTATGAAAGTTCCACCACAGTTTATAAAATAACATTTTTGACATGTCATGTGGAGACCTAAATCCTACACCTCCTTCATCATAAGAAAAGCATAGTTTAGGCCAAGATATCCAGTGTCTAGCTCTACCATCAATCGAATTACTCCAAAAGAACCTAGCAAACAACTTGTGCAGCTTGTTTATCACAAAAGCAGGAGGATTAATTGCTTAAAGTAGATGGATAGGCATGCTTTGTAATACATTGGAAATCAGAACTGCTCTCCCTCCTATGGACAGTAATTTACCCTTCCACGACTGTAACTGATCCAAAATCTTTTTCATAAGCCCTTCATAATAATTCATCCTTCTTCTAGAGTAAAATATTGGACATCCAAGGTATGTAAAGGGAAACTCTCGTCTTTGAATTCCAGTGATTCTTTGGACCTTCCTCACCACTTCATCATCAGTGGAGTGGTGCATGTATACTGCTGATTTGGACTTGTTTATCAACTGCCTAGCTACTTCATATGCATATATCACCTCCATGATCAACTGAACTGAGGTAAAATCTGATGATGAAAATATGATCGTATCATCTGCATAAGCTAGATGATTGATATTTGGACTCCACTTAGGTAAACCAAAGCCACAAAAATAAAGATTCAAATGAAGAGCATTTAGACCCCTTGATAATGCTTTTGCTGCCAAAATGAATAAGGTGGGGGATAGTGGATCTTCCTGTTTAACTCCTCTCGTGGACTTGAAAAATCCATATGGTTGTCCATTGATTAGGACAGAGTACCAGTTATTAGATACAATGCCAAAAATCAATCTAATAAATCTTTCACAGAAGCCCATCTTTCTCAACACCTTGGTTAGAAATAACCATGATAACCTATTGTATGCCTTGGTCATGTTACGCTTCATCACAACATTAGGGCCTTCTTTTGTTCTCAATCTTATATTAGTGATGATTTCTTGCATAAGTAGAACATTCTCAACAATAATCCTCCCTTTCACAAAACCAGCTTGCTCATCTGAAATAAGGCTAGGAAGAAGACCAGCTAACCTCTCATGTATAACTCTTGAAAACACTTTGTTGATGAAGTTGCTAAGATTGATAGGTCGCATATCTGAAAAGTTGTCACCTCTTTCTTTTTAGGCAGCAACACCAAGTTAGTGCGAGTCACATACCTGGGTAATTCCTGCCCACTGAAAAAAGCTTTCACCATTTCAATCACATCATCTCCAATGATATCCTAACAAGCCTGAAAAAAGCTACCATTGAAACTATCTGGACCTCCGGCACTCTCTCCACTCAAGCCAAAAACTGCCTGCTTGACTTCATCTGCTGAAGGTTATCGTATTAATTCTTGATTCTGTTCAGCCTCTAAAATGTGTGGTATATGATC